ATGCGCCCTCCCTCAAAACCTTTATTTTATTTGCTGCCTCTATTGTTTGTCAATCCTGGGGTTCATCTACCGAAAACCAGAAAAACTTTTTAACACAGCTTCTTTTCCTTATAAAGGATTCAGTCCTTGGATCTAAGACTTACCAGTACAGCATCTTAACATCATTGCACCTGCAAAGACCCTGTTTTCAAATAAGGTCATGTTCTGAGGAACCAGGTATACATGATTTTGGGGGGGGGGGCGGGGGGAGAGGGGGAGTGCTAGTCAACCCACTTTAGCCGGGCAATAGGAAGCTTCATGGAAAAGCTAGCATAAGCCATGAGATCACAGGGAGGACATAGAATCCATCATGCAACGAGGGAATCAGGTAAGTAAAAACAGCAAGTGTAGGTTCCCCAAATAGAACTCACAGAGCTCTCCTTCTACGAAAACACCATTTCTTCAAATGCCATCCAAACTTACATAGCTGCTTGGTCAGTTATTAAGATTTTGTCAAATATGTACCTGGTTGTAAGAACTTACCAAACCAAAGCAAAAACCCACTGCCATCAAGCCTATCTTGACTGGGAGCAGCCCTGGAGGACAGGTTTCCAAGACCGTGAATCTTTATGAGAGCATCTTCCTCTTTTGGGGAAACCGTTGGGCTTTCACTGTTGCCTTTGTGGGTAGCAGACCCAGGACTAACCTACTTACCACCAGAACTCCTTGGACTTAGCAAAAGAGAAAACATGAAAAATAGCATGTAGAGGCAAACACAAAGAGTGGGGAGGGTGGGTGAAAAGTAGGAAATATCAATTGGATTATTTTGAGGTTAATATAGGAGAATGCGTCAAAAAAGCATTGCTGCAAAATTGTAGTGCTTGTCTGCAGGCTTCCACCGATCACAGAGACGTGTTTTATTTGGAATAAACCCAGGCAGAACTAGAATCTTGTATTAAATAAAAGTACCAAAATGTGAAGACACTCTTTCTTGATGAATCCTCCATCGGGGTCTACATCCCTCCGAAGGCAGTGTTTCCATCTCTGACCCTTCCCCAAATAATTCTCCACCGTTTGAGTTATCCAACTTCAAAATGGCAATTTGGGCAGCAACAGGGAACTCAACTTGTGTTCCTTTGAAATGTTCTTTGGTTTGGGGCAACAAAAAGAAGGTTGAAGGGGCAAGATGAGCGCTCTAGGGTGGATGGAGTAGGGTTTCCCCAATGAAATTCTCATAGGACAGACCCTGCTTCTTTTGACAAACGAGCAGGTAGAATGTTGTGATGGAATAACAGATTCCTCTGTGAAACTATCCTATCATTTCCTCATGGATGCAATTTTTCGTTTTCTTAATGTTTCTTCCTAATAAGCCCCCCTGATTATCTTGGGTTCTTTGGGGGGGAGGCGTATCAAGATTTTCTCTTTCAAATCTTCAGCAGTCACCATAACCTTCTGAGCTGGCCTATCTGCCTTGAACTTAACTGACCTAACACATCCCACTTCAAGCCATTGCTTTGGTAAACCCAAGCCTTGTCCTCACTTATAATTCATTCCATAAAATCATCTTCATTAGCTTTGATCTTGCTTTAAAACCTGATGAAAAGATCTGTTCTTTGAACCATGTGACTTTTGTACAATGTTTTGGGCAACCGCTCTTTTATTTATGTATTCATTTTTGTGTGCACCCTAATGAGACGAAGACAAGTGTACTACGGAGAGAGCTTGTCTGCAGCCATGCACTGATCACAAAGACACGTTTGGTTTGAGAGAAACCCAGGCATGTATCCTCTAGAACTGTAGCAGCAATGCTATTTTTCAACTTATCATCATATATCACTTATAGCTTTCTACCCAAATGTTCCACTTCTAGGCATTACTGTGATTAAGGAAATACTATCATTAAGAGTGTGTGCAGTGGCTTGGCTGCCAAAAAAAAAAAGTTCCTTTATCTCAGCATAATTTATAACAGCTCAAACTCTGAAACATCCTAAGCATCCATTGCTGTGGAACTGGCAATAAAGTATGGTATTTTCACCAGCAATTCCAGGAATGGCTCAATTTGGGATGCTACGCCGCGCACGGACATTATTGCCAGGAAAGCAGACCACATTGTACGGCCCAGAGCCGTTCCAAGAAGCCATTACAGAATCATATTGTCTATGTTTGTCTATAATGTCAGAACTCCATTCACTTAAAATGGGTAGATTTTATTGCCAATAAAGTTTTAAAAACAAAACAAAAAGATAGGATAGAAATGTAGCCTATGCCAATTAGGTACAAAGTACCCTGGAAGAGTTTAAACCCTAAAGTGCTTTAAAATTTTTTTCTAGGTAGGAGGTGAACAGATCATTTACATTGTCTTCTGTTCTTTTTAATGAAGCAATGTTTCCTTGTAGAAATTAAAACATGTTTTTGATTTTAAAAGAAACACTACAGATAAAGCAAAGGGAAACAAGTTTTAGCTCCTCCAAATAAGCATTGTTTTTTTTAATGGATTTTTTAGATAAGCATACTTGCACATTTTTCTTTGCAGACACAAGCACATTTGTATCTGGGATTTTCTTGGTGCAAATGAGTCTTTTATGAACATAGAGGTAAACTAAATATAATTTTCACCCTTATCTTTTTAAAAACTCATCTTGAATATCTTCCAGTATCTTCACTCATAAATAAATCTGTACAAAATTGAAATAAGTGGCCCATTGTAGATGTGTCTTGTAATTCACTTAACCAGTCTTCCTACAAACAATTAGACTGCTTTAACTCTTGCAAACCCGACAGTCCTGCAGTCATCCTCTTTTTACCTGCCTCTTGGACACAAATATAGTTATCTAGGACTGGGGCCTAAAATCAGAATTGTTAGATTACAAGTACATGCATTAGAATCTTCATTACACATTCCTGTATTTAATACTTTCTAAAATTACAAACTACATGAAAAAGTTAAGACCCTTTAAAATAGGATTGGAGAGCCCACAGTTTACTCTCTCAAAAATTCTCATCAAGCTCAGCTATGTTTTTCATTTACAAACCCTGTGGACAGAGTGGTTAGAGCACACAGCAGCTGACGGAAAGGCCGGTGGTTCAAAGCCACCAGGCTCTTCACAGAACAAAGATGAGCCTGTCTGCTGCTGGAAAAAGATTACAGTCTCAAACCCTGTGGGGAAATTCTGTTCTCTCCTATTTGGTCACTGTGGGTCAGAATCAACTCGATAACAGTGGGTTTGATTTGGGCTTTTATTGTTCATTTGACCCTGAAATAAGGGCCCTGTGCTGGACAGACCATGGTCCCAAGCCCAAAGGAACCATTCTTACTACAGAATTTGAGAGGATGATAGCTGGAATCTGAAATAACAGCCCCAATATACAGTCCATCTTATCATGCCAGCAAATCTCAGGGCTCTTTCCCAATGATGTACGCTCATTTAATCAAGCAGCCAGCAAGGACAAGCCGTTGGCTGAAGGAAATGGAATATATCTTTGATATCTTTAGCATCAAAATGCCCTGAGAGAAGCAAAATGGTCAAAAGCCCATAAAACTTTCATTGCCTATTAAGAGCAGCATGGCTGGTTTGGCTGAGATTAAGAACAGAAGAGGTAAACTTTCCCCCAAAAGAAAAAAAATTTAAAAAAAAATTTGGACAGAAATTCCATAAAGCTTTGTTGTTTGAGAAGGAGAGCTTAGAGTTACTACAGAATCAAATGGCCAAGTAACGTGAGTAAGCCAGGTTGAGGCAATAGTCAAATGATGGACAGAGTTCTCCAAGCAGCTGGGATCTCAGTAGAAACCTGTTAATTGTGTGTTCAGGGATAACATCAGAAAAGGGCATTAGCACAACTGTCTAAACAGAATGAAACAAAAGCATATTTGGCACACTTCCTCAAAGGACAGGAGGGCAAATGTTGGCAACTTTCTTCAAATGGCAGGAGATGAGTTTGCTTGGAACACCCAGACATGGGATTAAAACCACGTGATCTGACTAATTATTTTTCACTCTTCTGCAATGCAGCTTAGCCTGAAAAGCTTTGTCAGGAGTTTAAAAATACATTGTTTTGTTTTGTGGTTCTATCTTTAAAAAATTGTTTGGTTTGCAGTATGTTTGTATTGCTCTCAGAAACAGCTTTGAAGATTAACATGAAGAAAGAGATAAAATATATTTAGAAGTCAAATCATAAGAATACAGTAAAGGTTTCAAAACAACTGAGAGAACACATAACTTCAGATGAGTAGACATCATCGGTGCTGCCAAATATAGGCATTGGTGACCATACTGTAAAGATAGCCACTAGCCTATTTATATTGAAAGTAATTAAAACTCTATTTGAATTAGAAACTTTTAATTCCTCAGTTGCACTAATCACAATTTCAAGTGCTCAGTTGTGCCATATGGCTAGTGTGGCTACCATGTGTTGTAGAGTGCGGATTTAGAACATTTCTTTCATCATAAATTCAACCCAACACATTGCCAGCAAGGCAAATTTGACCCCTAACACCCCCATAATATGGTTTCTGAAACTGTAAACCTTAAAGGGAACACGGAGCCTTGTCTTTCTCCTGAGGCGCGCGCCTGGTGTACCCCGGAGGCAGACCTTCCAGGTAGCTGTCTGATGCTCACCTGCCAGCACCACTAGGCTGTTATTGGACAGCATCTGATTGCTGTTGCTGTTGCCAGGTGCCATCGAGTTGGTTCCAACCTATAGCGACCTTATGCACAACGGAACGAAACACCTGCCAGGGCCACCCTCACAATCGTTCTTCTGGGCCTCAGCGCATTGTGGCAGCCACTATGTCAAGCCAGCTCATTGAGCGCCTTCCTCTTTTTGGTTTTACCAAACCCAGTGTCCTTCTCCAGGGACTGGTGTCTCCTGACAATATGTCCAAAGCATGTAAGACGAAGTCTTGCCATCCTCGCCACCAAGGAAGACTATGGCTGTACTTCTTCCACGACAGATTAGGTTGGCCTTTTAGCAGTCCATGTTACTTTTAATATTCTTCACCAGCACCACAACCCAAATGCATTGTCTTCTTCTGTCTTCCTTATTCAATGTTCAACTTTCACATACCTATGAGGCAATGGAACATACCATGGGTTCAGTCAGGCACACCTTAGTTATCAAGGTAACAAAGTCATTCTCAAAGATCATTTTCCACCGGCCTTCCTCTATTGATGGCATCTACACATTAGTAGCCAACTCTGTCTTACTTTCTTTGTTTGCATCTCAGCTGTTAAAATAACATTCACATCAAACATTTGAGGGGTTGGGTGACTTGGATAAGCTGTCTTTTCTCTGTGCTCAATTAGCCACAATATGCGGAAATTAGATTATATCAGTATTTCTCCAGGTGAGATATAAGACCATGTCAGGTGAGTTCTTATTTTCTATATTTTACAACATTATGTCAAGCAGAAAATCTCCATTTACTTCTAATTAACTTTTAATTCCTCTCTGATACTTTACAATTTTTTTCTTTTTCATTTCTGCATACAATAGTACTTTGTCAAATGTATGACACTATGCTGTCTTTAATATATGTGTATTAATGACTTTGGAGGTAATATAAAAAGTTCCTTTCAAAATTTAAATTTTAAAGTGAGCTGATTAATAATCTTTTATATGTATGGATGGGGTGCTTCAAAAGTTTGTGGAAAAATTTCACTAGCTTTCAATTTTATTTTTCCCAGAACTTTTTGATGCTGCCACATAGATCTTGCGAGCTCAAGGATTGCATCAGGCATTCAAGTCTGGCCCCCAGACTTCGCTGACTCAACCGTTGCTCTTTGTAGAATCTATCACACTCGATCTCCAGGCCCTCTGCTCTAATACAGGAGTCAGAAGCATGTCTTTGTTTTCCACATATTTCCAGCTCAGCACCGTGGTTTGCACCGTGGTGTGTCTGGAGAAAGCCATGCTTGGCTATACAGCATGGAAAGCAGTTGAAAGTAGTTCTGATAAAAATGGGACTTTAAGCGTGAAGAGTATCTCAAAGATTTCCAGAATTGCAGAAGGTGCAACTCAGGGAAAAGCCATGCCCTGAGTTTACTACTGTGTGGCAGTAGTGCCCTTTCTCATATTACATAGCCTAAGTCTGTGTCTACACTGAAAATGTTGAGACTGGAATTATTATGATTACTTCTCTGTTGAGTACTGCCCTTCTTCTTCCACTTAGCTGTGATAGAGTGTGGGGGGAGGTGGAGTGCTTGGTTATAGGACCGAGTGGCAAGTTTGATCAGGGAGCTTAATTTAAGGATAGGACAATGACAATCAGATGTCTAGTAACTTGAAGAAGAAAAAAAAAATTTTGTTGAATAAATAGACACCAATACATCACTGGGTCCATATTAGAAAAAATGCCTTCCATCCAGAGAGAAACTAGATTGAAAGGAGAAATCTAATCTACTTAATTTTATTTCTCATTTCTACATAAAGTAACTGGGTAAGATGGTGCTCCAGGAGTAATTCTGAGGGCCTGCTGTATTGTTATCATTGCACATCTGCAATGTTATCATTGGTGTTAGTTGAGGGTCAGTTGGCTCTAACTCGTGGCGACCCAAGGTACAACAAGAGGCAGTGCTGCTTAGTCCTGTGCCGTATTCATGATTATTGATCTGCTTGAGGTCCTTTTTGCACTCTATTGTGTGGTGTCCTCCTGTCTAAGGGGTTCATCTTCTTTCAGCGCTGTATTTGACCACATTCTGTGGTGATCCATTGTGTTTTCTTTGTATAATTGTCAGAAGACTCTGAATTTTGTCGTTAAATATAGGGTAGCTAAAGCAAACAGAAAAAGAAATGAAGTAAAAGAGCTGACAGAAAATTTCGAAGGGCTGCTCCAGAAGGCAAAGTAAAGTATTAAAATGAACTGTGCAAAAACATGGAGTTAGAGAGCCAAGAAAAAGGAAGAACATGCTCAGCATATCTCAAATTAAAAGGACAAAAGAAAAAGTCAAGGATTGAGTTGTAATATTGAAGGATTTTATGGGTGAAATATCAAAAAATGTAGGAAGCATCAAAAGAAGATGGAATGTTGTTCAGTTTCTTTTTGTACAATTACTCTGTGCTTTCCTTCCATTTCAAGAGGGAGCAGATGATCAAGATTCAATGATTTTAAGTCCAACCTGCACTGAAGGCATTAGTGAAAAACAAAGCTCCGGGTGTGACAGCATAGTAACTGAAGTGCTTCAACAGCTGATGAAGCACTGGACACAGTCAAGTGCACCCCCAAATTTGGAAGACAGCTCCTGCCTAACCTACTGAAAGAGATCCATATTTGTCCCATTCCCAAGAAAGGCAACGCAATAGAATGTGGAAATTATCAAGCAATATTATTAATGTCACATGCAAAGAATATTTTGGGCAAGATCATTCAAAAATGAATGCAGTCCTCATAGGGAGTTGCCAGAAATTGAAGCCTAATTTAGAAGAGAACATAGCATCAAAGATATTACTGTTGACATTAGGTGGATCTTAGCTGGGAGCAGGGAATACCAGAAAGTTGTTCACCTGTGTTTTATTGACTATGCAAAGACATTCTAATGTGTGAGCCAAAAACTATGGACAGAATTGTGGTAGTTACATAACTTCATGTCAACTTGATAGAGTGAAGGGGTGGAGTTTAGCCTGTCAATCAGATCTTGGCCTGACTGTGCCTCCTAGTGGGTGTGACCTTCGCATGAGGGTTCTGGGAACTTCCTCTTTTTCTCCTGGAGGTGGGCCACACACACTCTCCCTCAGCTTCACCTTTCTTCTGACACCAAATGGAGCCACACTGATGGCAGCCAGAGCCCTGGAGATGCGTCCACTGCTTTTGGACCCACAGGAGTTTCCATCCACCGGCCTGTGAGCTCCCTACATTTGGCATCATTGCGTGTGCTATGTGAGTCTGAAGAGGAATTCATGGGCTAAAATCGAACTTATGGACTTGATCTGGACTGGACTGGGATGTTTTATTGATGTATAATTACTTCTTGATCTAAAATTCTCTCTTAAATATATATGAGTGTCTCTGATTTTGTTTCTCTAGTCAAGCCATACGAACACAAGAACTAAGAGGAATCAGAATTCTAGAACACTTCATTGTGCTCATGGACCAAGAGCCAGTCCTTTGAAGAGAACAAGGGAATAATGTGTGGGTTAAAATTGGGAAAGGTATTTATCAGGGTTTTACGTTTTACCATACCTATTCAATCTATATGCTAAGCAAAAGATCTGAGAAGAACTATATGAAGAAGAGTATGGCATCAGAATTGGAGGATTATGTCATCGGTGATAGACATGCATGTGACACAACTTTGCTTGTTGAAAGTGTGGAGCATTTGAAGTACTTGCTGATTGAGATCAGGGACTATAGCCTTCAGTATGGATTATAAAGAAAACAAAAAAATCCTCACAACTACAGCAATAGACAACACCATGGTACATGGATAAATGATAGAAGTTGTCAGGGTCGTCATTTTGCTTGGATCCGCTACCAACTGTCATGGAAGCAGGAGTCGCAAAATCAAATGGCACATTGTATTGGTCAAGTTTAGTCTACTGTACAAGACCTCTTTAAAGTGTTGAAGAACAAGGTGTGCTTGACTTAAGTCTTGGTATTTTCAATCACCTCAAGCATGTGAAAGTTGGACAATGAATAAGGAAAACCTAAGAAGAATTGTGGAAACCCTGTGTTACACGTTGGGCTGCTAACCACAACGTCAGCAGTTCAAAACCTCCAGGGACTCCACAGGACAAAGATGGGCTGTCTACTCTCATAAAGACTTACCGTCTCAGAAACCCATAGGTGCAGTTCTACTCTGTCTTACAGAGTTTCTATGAGTTGCAATGGACTTGATGGCAATTAGAGTTGAAGCATTTAAATTACAATGCTGGTGAGGAATATTGGCAATATTGTGGACTGTCAGAAGAACAAATTTGTCTTGGAAAGCATACAGTCAACCTGTTCCTTAGAAACAAAGATGGTGATACTTTCTCTCATGTTAGACATGTTATCATATTATGTTAGGCTGAATTAATTAGAAAAACAAATCCAGTGACACTCGTTTATGCATAAGAAAGAGCTTTATATCAAGAAGTAATTATATATCAATAAAACATCCCAGCCAAGTTCAAATCAAGTCCCTAAGTCAATTACAAGTCCATAAGTCCTTCATCAGACTCACACAGCCACATGCAATTATACAAAATGAAGAAAGATCACAGGCAGGTGCAGAGTAATGTGGATACAAGGTCAGTAGATACATGGCAGTGCATGGCAGTGACCCAGCTGCAGCAGGCAGAAAGGCAAAGTGGCAAAGTGAGAAGGAGGTTCCCAGGGTCTTCCTTATGAGAAGGTCACACTCCCAAGGACATAACATCAGACTGTGACCTGATTGGCAGGGCTGATTCCACTCCTAGCCTAGAGTGGCTAGTTGGCATAAAATCATCTACTCCCACACAGCGTGTCTGGAATCTGTTTGGTGCTCACTGAATAGTTATTCAGTAGCTGATTTACTAAAGAAAGAATAAAAGAAGAGAGACATCATCTTATACCATAACTAAGGTTATTTTTTCATCTTACTGGTGGATAGAAACTACATGTTGAATCAGAGAGCAAGCAAGTAGAATTGGACATGAAAATAGTGCTGCTGTCAAGCCCTCGCAGCCTGTGTAATTATACTTGTATATTCTAAAGCCTTTTCTATCTAAAAACTGGGTCATAATTTGGATTGAATCTGTACCAATGTAAGACAACGATCAGCCCAGAGTGCCACTATGAATTTCCAAGATATACCACCTGTTGACTATATTTGCTCAGGCAATAGCTACAACAGACGGGCATAAGGTAACATTACGTGATTTCTGGAAGAATTGTAATTTTCTTCAGTGTATTAGAACATTGCATCTTGCTAGAAAAAAGTTATCAGAAAATGCATGCAGAGGATTTGGACGCAATTGCTAAGTTTTATGCACATGCTATAAGCACTTCGATCAGGATAACATGATAAAATGAGGTAAATTGATGGAAAAATTTTCTGTATGTCAAAAACACTGAATTTAGACCCTGATATTGCTGGTATGGAACAACT